ATAAAAAAGTTGATCGGGTCCAACTGGTGTGGCTCAGTGGTTGAGCATCAACACATACAGCAAGAGGTCACCAGTTCGATTCCTGGTCAGGAGACATGCCCAGGTTGTGGGCCTGATCCCCAGTGGGGGATGTGCAGGAGGCGGCCAATTGATCTTCTCTCTCATCGATGTTTCCATCTCTCTCCCTCTCCCTTCCTCTCTCTCAAAAAAATCAATAAAAAAATTGGAATTCCCAGATTGACAATTTTTTTATTATGTTAATTGAATTTTTATCATTTATTTATTTTTTTTAAGTTTTTTTTTTTCTCACCTGAGGATATTTTTCTACTTATTATCAGATAGAGTGTATCTTCAGATGGAATGGGAGAGAGAGAGAGACAGAGAAAAATGTCAATGTGATAGAGTCACATCCACTTGTTGCCTCCCATACAACCCGACCAGGGCTGGGGATGAACCAACCGAGGTACATGCCCCTCACCAGAATTGAATCCGTGACTCATTCATCTGTGGGCCAATGCTCTAACCACTGAGCAAAACTGGCCAGGGCGTATGTTCATTGAATTTTTAGAGAAAGAGAGATAGAAACATCCATGTGAGAGAGAGAAACATCCATAGGCTGCCTGCTGCACACCCCCCATTGGAGATTGAGCCTGAAACACAGGCATGTGCCCTGACCAGGAATCAAACTGGGACCTCTCAGTCCATGGGATGACTCTCAGTCCACTGAGCCACACCAACCAAGCCTGGGATTGACAATTTTTTTTTATTTGTTATTTTTTTGGTATGTGCCCCTAGCGGGAACCGAACCCGGGACTCTCTGGTCCAAAGGCTGACGCTCCAACTGCTGAGCCAAACCGGCCAGGGTGACAATTTTTTAAATTGGTGAGAATCCAGGGAAACTATCACTCTCTCAGTGTGGGTATGTGTAATTGGGAATACTTTTGGAAGATAATTTGGCAGTGTATAAAAATTGTAAATGTTTCTAGCTGGTGTGGCTCAGTGGTTGAGTGTCGACCCATGCACCAAGAGGTCGCTGGTTCAATTCCCGGTCAGGACACATGCCCAGGTTGTGGGCCTAATCCACAGTAGGGGGCATGCAGGAGGCAGCCAATAGATGTTCTATCTCATTGATGTTTCTATCTCTCTCTCCCTTTCCCATCCTCTCTCTCTAAAATCAATAAAGGAAAAATTTTTTTTAATTGTAAATGTGCATAATCTTGCCTCAGCAATTCTTCTTCTAGGAATCTGATAACTCCATACATATGTATAGAATCCCTTATTAGTATGCAGGGATTCTAACCATACCTCAGCAGTTCTATGAAGTAAATACTCTTTTTTTTTTTTTAATTTTTTTTCTTTATTGATATTAGAGAGCAAGAGGAAGGGAGAGGTAGGGAGAGAGAGAGAAACATGGATGAGAGAGAACATCGATTGGCTGTTTCCTGCATGGCCCCCACTGGGGATCAGGCCTATAACCTGGGCATATGCCCTGAAATCGAACCGGTGACCTCTTAGTGCATGGGTTGATGCTCAACCACTGAGCCACACCAGCCGAGCATGAAGTAAATACTCTTATTTCCTCATTGTACAGATGTGATAAGTGAGGCATGGAGGTTAAGTGAATTGCCTAAGGTCATATAGCTAGTAAATTGTAGATCCAGGATTCACATCTATAATTTGTCTCCAGAATTTGTGCTATTTTTTTTTTAATCCTCCCTTGAGGACATTTTTGCATGTATCTTCAGATAGAATTGGAGAAGGAGAGGGAGGAAGAGAGAGAGAGAAACATCGATGTGAGAGAGACACATTGAGTAGTTGCCACCCGCACGACCCCAACAGGGGCTGGGGACAAACTACAACTGAGATACATGCCCTTAGCGGGAACTGAACCCGGGACTCTCTGGTCCACGGGCCGACGCTCTAACCGCTGAGCCAAACCGGCCAAGACCAGAATCTGTGCTCTTAACCACTCTCATATACAGCCCTCCACTCTCTCATAAATGCCATACATGATCACTAATATATATATATATGATATATATATAAAAGTGTTTGCTGCAATTGAGCTAGAAATATTAAGAAAGAATAAAACAAATATGAAAATGTTTTAAACATATTTTGTTAAGTTAAAAAATAGCAAGCTAGGGGACAAAGTGGGCTGACATCTGTAACACTTTCAACAATAAAGATTAAAAAATAGCAAGCTATAGAATAATGCTTATAATACCTATTTACATAAAACCAAAAACAAAAAAAACTTAGCCCAGCCGGTGTGGCTCACTAGTTGAGCGTTGACCCGTGCACCAAGAGGTCACTAGTTTGATTCCGGGTCAGGGCACATGCCCCAGTTGTGGGCCAAATCCTCAGTTGGGGGTACACAGGAGGCGGCCAATCGATATTCTCTCTCATCAATGTTTCTGTCTCTCTCTCCCTCTCCCTCTCCCTTCCTCTCTCTCTAAAATCAATAAAGACAAAATATTAAAAAACAAAAACAAAAAACTCCAACTTAGCAAGTACGCTCAAAAGAGCAGAGATGAAGCTTGGTCTAAGCCACAAATGAGTTTTATTTTCTTCATTTGGTACCTTTATTATTATTTTTTTTATTATTATTTTAATCCTCACCTAAAGATATATATTTTTTAAATTATTTTTCTTTATTGATTTTAGAGACAGAGGAAGAAAGAGGGAGAGAGAGATAGAAACATCAATGAGACAGAACATCAACTGGCCGCCTCCTGCATGTCCCCTACTGGGGACTTGGCCCACAATCTGGGCATGTGCCCTGACCGGGAATCAAACCAGTAACATCTTGGTGCATGGGTAGACGTTCAACCACTGAGCCACGCCGACTGGGCAGGATATTTTTTTCATTGATTTTCAGATCAAGTGGGAGGGGAGGAGGGAGAGACAGAAAGAGAAACATCGATGTGAGAGAGACATATTGATTGGTGCCTCCCACACAACCCCAACCAGGGTTGGGGATCCAACCCCAACCAAAGTACATGTCCTTGACCAGAATCAAATTTATATATATCATATATATATATATATATATATATATATATATATATGTATTTTTTCCCCATGTTTCAGAGAAGAGGCGTTAAGGACTCATGCCATAAGTTTATTTATAAACATATCTAGTATGTTAAGTCCAACAGTTAGACCCATTTTTTTTTCTTTATCCTCACCAGAGGACATTTTTTTTGTTTTTTTGTTCAGATAGAGTGGGAGGGAGAGAAAGGAAGAGAGAGAGAGAGAGAGAGAGAAACATTGAAGTGAAAGGGACACATCAAGTGGTTGCCACCCGCACTACCCAACCAGGGCAGGGGACAAACTGCAACCTAGATCCATTTTTCAAAGTGACAACACCTCTTAAAATGCCCCTCTTCATATCTGTTTCATGGATTAACTAAAACATCTTAATTTTTTTAAGTAGTTGGTTACTATAAACAAAGGTGAGGCAAATCCAGATCCAAAGAACAAAGTCATTAGAGCTAGTAAGCACCACTTGTTTTCCACTGAAAATGGCAAATTCTTCCCTGGGCTGTCCTCTTAGTGGCTCCTATGGACCACAGAGGTTATGAACCTCCGAAAGCTCTGTTCCAGTATTTTGCTGTTAGAAGCCCTGCAAAAGGCACAGAAACCGAAAGCAGAAGAAATGGTGCTATCCCACCCAGTCCTTTTTCACGACCTGTTCCCCTTTGTTCAAACCCGCATCTCTTTGGTCCGTGGGCCAAAACAGCTGAGGCAAACCGGCCAGGGCGGTACCTTTATTATTATTAATTTTTTAAAATTGAGGTATAATAGCCCTGCCAGTGTGGCTCAGTGGCTGAGCGTCCACCCATGCACCAAGAGGTCACTGGTTCGATTCCTGGTCAGGGCACATGCCCAGGTTGTGGGCCAAATTCCCATTGGGGGCATCCAGGAGGTGACCAATCGATGTTTCTATCTCTATCTCTCTCTCCCTTCCTGTCTCTCTAAAATCAATAAAGAAAAAAAATTGCCCTGGCTGGTTTGGCTCAGCAGTTGGAGCGTCAGCCTGCGGACCAGAGAGTCCTGGGTTCGGTTCCCGCTAGGGGCACGTACAAAAAAATAAAAAAGAAAAAATTGAGGTATAATAAACATACATTAGTTTCAGGTGTACAACATAATAATTTAATATTTAGGTCTAGTTAACACCCATCACCATGCATAGTTATAGAATTAAAAAAATTTTTTTTCATTCATTTGTTGATTTGAGAGAGAGAGAAATTATTCGTTGTTTCACTTATTTATGCATTCATTGCTTGATTCTTGTATGTGCCCTGACAGAGGATCGAACCTGCAACTTTGGCATATCAGGATGACGCTCCAACCAACTGAGGTACCTGGCCAGGGCAGAGCTCTTTTTTCTTGTAATAAGAGCTTTAAAATTATACTCTCTAAGCAACTTTCAAATATGCAGTATAATATTATTAACTATGTTGTACATTATATCTCCAGGACTTACTTATTTGATGACTGGAAGTTGGTACTTTTTGGCTCCATTCACCCATTTTCCTCACCACCTCCACCCCTCCCACCCACCTCTGGCAACCACCAATATGAGTTTGTTTTTTATAATTTTTTTAAATTGATGTTTTATTTTTTTAAATTAATTAATTTATTAAACTTTTTTTTTCTTTATTGATTTTAGAGAGAGAGAAAGGGAGGAGAGAAAGATAGAAACCTCGATGATGAAAGAGAACATTGATTGGCCACCTCCTGCAGGAGGATTGGGGATCAGGCCCACAACCTGGGCATGTGCCCTGACCGAGAATCGAACCAGCGACCTCTTGTTTCATGGATTGATGCTCAACCACTGAGCCACACCGGTTGGGCGAGTTTGTTTTGTTTCGCTTTGCTTTGCTTTTTATGAAATTGTTTTTCTTTGTTTGTTTTGTTTTTGTTTTTGTTCATCCATGTCTTTTATTAACCTATATACAATTATTTCTCTTCAGGTCTGTTGAAGCAATAGGTCATACAACATTTGCCACAACATTGTCTGTCAAACTGTCTGGCCATAAAATCCAAGCACCATGTTCCCCTGCAGGACAATCCGAGACAAGACTACTGATTTTGCCATTCTCATTCACCCTGTGGTATTTCAGGACAGCCAGGTTGGCCTTCTTTCTCTTATGCTCATTTTTGGGAGTGGTGTAAGACTTCTTCCTTTTTCTAGCACCACCATGAAGTCTCAAGACAAGATGAAGAGTGGACTCGTTTTGAATGTCGTAGTCAGACAAAGTACATCCATCTTCCGGTTGCTTGTTAGCACAGATCAGTCTTTGCTGATCAGGAGGAATTCCTTCTTTATCCTGCATCTTGGCCTTTACATTTTCAGTTGTATTCAAGGGTTCAGCCTCAAGAGTGATGGTCTTCCTCACAGGGGTTTTCAGGAATATTTGTATCTTGGTGGTGGTTCTGCTGCAGATGGAAGATCGGAAAAGCTGCTTATTGTTTGATTTGAGAGAGAGAGAGAGAGAGAAAGAAACATAGATGTGAGAGAGAAACATTAATCAGTTGCCTCCCGTACAAGCCCGGACTCACCAAGGATGGAACCTGAAACCCTTTTGGTGTATGGGAGGATGCTCCAACCAACCAAGTCACCCAGCTGATTTTTGTCTGTTTTTTTTTTCACATATAAGTGAAATCATATGGTATTTGTCTTTCTCTGTCTGACTTTTTTCACTTAGCATAATGCCCTCAAGGTCCATCCATGTTGCAAATGGCAAGATTTAATTATTTTTTATGACTGAATAATATTCTATTATGTAATGTATGTTATCCATTTTTATATATTCTTTATCCATCCACTGATGTACATTTAAATCGTTTTTATGTCTTTTTTTTTTCCTCACCTGAGGACATTTTTCCATTTCTTGTTTAGATAGAGTAGGAAGAAGAGAGAGAAAGAAACATCGATGTGAACGGTACACATCGAGTGGCTGCCACCCGCACAACCCAACCAGGGCCAGGGACAAACTACAACCGAGATACGTGCCCTTAGTGGGAACTGAATCCGGGTTTCTCTGGAGCACAGGCCAACACTCTAACTACTGAGCCAAACCGGCCAGGGCTGTTTTCATATCTTAACTATTGTAAATAATGCTGCAATGAACGTGAGGGTACACATATATTTTTTTGAGTTAGTGTTTTTGTTTTCTTCAGATAAATACCCAGACAGAAGTGTAATTGCTACATCATATGATAGTTCTATTTTTTACTTTTTGAGGAACGTCTGTTCCTCAAAAAGTCACTGTTTTCCAAAGTGACTGCACCAATTTACGTTCCCATCAGCAGTGCACAAAGGTTCCCAAAGGTGAGGTGTTGAACTACGACGGGGGGAAGGGCACTCCAGGCACACACCTGTGTGCATATCAGGGGATGTCACAGAGGGAACCACTTAGCATAAATAGTGAACAATATGTAGTTGAGTGAGTATAGCTGGAACTTTAGTTACATTTCTAGGTGAAAGGTAGGGCCTACAAAGATTTGATTCGATTTGTACCAGATATTGAGATCTGGGTTCAATAAGGTAAGACTCCCTGAGGTCAAAGCTTGCAGACTCTTTTGAAGAGGATCAAGCTGGAAACAAGGAATTCATTCTATATAGTAACATTACCAAGTAAGCAATGATGACTATACCTAATTAAGGCAGTAATGAGGGATGGTGAGAGAGAGGAGGGGCTGAATCTGAAAGACATTTGTGGAATATGATTGATGGGACTTGATGACTGATTACTACTGTGAGGGGGATGGTAGGGGCCTGAAGAGGGAGAAGTTTGTTGGGGAGAAAACTGGGCACAAAGTTCCTTCAAAAGGCATCACTTGTGCCCTGGCCTGTTTGGCTCAGCAGTTAGAGCGTCAGCCTGCAGACCAATGAATTGCGGGTTCGGTTCCCGTCAAGGGCACGTACCGAGGTTGTGGTTCTTTCCCAGCCCTGGTCAGGGTCTTGTGGGAGGCAACCAGTTGGTATATCTCTTTCACACCTGTTTCTCTCTCCCTCTCTCTACCTCCCTCCCACTGTATCTGAAGATAAATAGAAAAATATCCTGGGGTGAGGATTAGAAAAAAAAAAGGCATCACTGCTTGTAAGACAGGAAATTATAGTTTACTATAAAGAGCTATGTATGAGTCTGCCTCCTTTACTAAGCCATGACTCCTTCATCTCATCTCTCCAAGTGTCTAGTGCCCCTCTCACACATATCACATTAACACAATGAAAGAATACAGCAGAGAGACTAGCTTTGGTTTAGAGTGGGTTGGGGGAGCAGGGAATGATGAAGGATAAATAATCACAACGTTTGGGAGGCAGGAAGTTCTTCAGCCTACTGCCTTCCTTCTTAGCCTTGGTCAGAAGCCTGCCCCAGGGGAGATTGCTCAATTTTCCTTTAGTCCTTTCTTTCTCTGGGTTAGCCATACAATGTGATAGTGTTGACTGGCTGAGACACGAGTGGCTACAGTATGGGGGAGAGTATCTCCCCCAAATTCTTCTATCACCACCCAGAACCTGGTTCTAAAAAGGCACAGTGGCCTTGGCTGTGTTGGCTCAGAGGTTAGTGTTGGCCCATGAAATGAAGGGTCTCGGGTTCGATTTCCGGTCAAGGTCATGTACCTGGGTTGCAGTTTTTTTCCTCTCCATTTTTTGTTCAGATAGAGTGGGAGGGAGAGAGAGGAAGAGCGAGAGCGAGAGCGAGAGAGAGAGAGAGAGAGAGAGAGAGAAACAGCAATGTGAAAGGGACACATCGAGTGGCTGCCACCCCCACGACCAACTAGGGCTGGGGACAAACTGCAACCGAGGTACGTACCCTTAGTGGGAACCGAACCCGGGTCTCTCTGGACCGCAGGCCAACGCTCTAACCACTGAGCAAACTGGTTGCAGTTTTGATCCCAGCCCTAGTAAAGGTTGTGCACAAGGCAACCAATCGATGTGTATCTCTCTCCCTCCCTTCCAGTCTATCTAAAACTCAATGGAAACATCCTTGAGTGAGAAGTAAGTAAGTAACTAACTAAATAAATAAATAAAATAAAAAGGCAATGTAGAAGAAGCCTTGATTTCTACTTTCCTCCTCTAAACAGCCAAACCTTGAGATATACTGCAAGAGATGGCATGTCTTTGGCAGGATGCCATAGGCTGATGTGGCAAGAGGAAAAAGGGGGGAGAACAGCCAAGAAGGCATGAACTTCAGTAGGCAGAAAGGAAAAGGGCCTGAGACTGGAATATGAAAGGAGAAAGGAGCCAGTGGGTATTTTAATTATTATTATTTAATTAAAATATTTTAACCATTTTTATTAAAAAATAATTTAAATCAGAATAGGAAAAAAAATGAATCTGCCCAGTTGGTGTTGCTCAGTGGTTGAGCATCGACCCATGCACCAAGAGGTCATTGGTTTGATTCCTGGTATGGGCACATGCCCAGGTTATGGGCCCGATCCCCAGTGGGGGGCGTGCAGGAGGCAGCCAATCAATATTTCTATTTCTCTCTCTCTAAAATCAATAAAGAAAAAAAAATTAAAAAAGAAAAAATAAATAAAAACACATCTTTGCTTGAGAATTAAAAAAATTTCTTGCCCTAGCCGGTTTGGCTCAGCGGTTAGAGCTTCGGCCTGCGGTCCAGAGAGACCCGGGTTCGGTTTCCGCTAAGGGCATGTACTTTGGTTGCGGTTTGTCCCCGGCCCTGATTGGGTCGTGCGGGCGGCAGCCACTCGATATGTCCCTTTCACGTCGATGTTTCTCTCTCTCTCTCTCTCTCTCCCTCCTGCTGTATCTGAACAAAAAATGAAAAAATGTCCCCGGGGGAGGATAAAAAAAAAAAAAGACAGCCCTTGAACGGAATCAAACCCGAGACTCATTGGTCCGCAGGCTGATGCTCTACCACTGAGTCAAACAGGTCAGGGCCATTGAGTAATTCTTTATGTGCCCTCATTGGGGATCGAATCTGAATCTTTGGCCTGTTGGGACGGTGCTCTAACTAAGCTACTAAGCCAGGGCCTGATTCAGTGTTTTTGAAATTGTTGGAGGAGGCTAAGCCTGAGGGGACCTTGGCAGTCACCTGCCTATGGAACTGGAAGCTGTGCTCTGACTGGGTTGCAGCCTTCCTGGCTGCTGGCCTGTACAGGCACAGAGAAGACTGAGGTTAGAGAGGAGGCACTCAGAGAAGCAGCAGCTAGATGTTGGCAGTTTAGACTGGCTCCGTTGTTCGGCAGGATTGAACAGAATCTTGAGACACAGATACCACACAGGAAGTAGTGGTTCCCTTCAACCCTGCTGTGTGTACCTTGCAGAAATGAGGAGACTAACCAGGCAAAATTCCTCAGGGTGGGGGTGGTGGTGGTGGTGGTGGAACCATTGTAGAACCTGTTCATCTTATTCTGCACTTCCTCTTGTGGAGAGCAGGAAGGCCTCCTCAGCTCTGGACTTTTGGTGGTGGGCCTGGGGTGATGTTGCTCAGAGAAAATTACTAACTCTATTAGTTCAGTTTTTCTTGTTCTCTAGCTGCCTTAAAATAGTCTTTGGGCCTGGCTATTGTGGCTCAGTGAATTGAGCATTGCCCTTGCACTGAGAGGTCACTGGTTTGATCCCCAGTGAGGGGAGTGCAGAAGGCAACTGATCGATGTTTCTCTCCCATCCATGTTTCTATCTCCCTCTCCCTAAAATAATTAAAAACATATTTTAAAAAATAGTCTTTGATTGTTCTTAAACTTTAGAATGACAGTGCTGGAAGGAACCTTATGGATCATGGGCACTAACCCCATCATTGAAGAATTTCCATTCTCCCTCATCCTTTCGTAGAAATAGCTGCACGTAGGATGGTGAAACCAGAATGGTACAGTGTATTTCCCCAGACTTCAATCATTCACATTTCACCTTCATAATTTTGTTTTTAAAGAACAGTTTGTTGATTTTTAGAGAAAGAGAGAGGGAGAGGGAGAGAGAAATACAAATGTGAGAGCCTAACATTGATCAACTAACTGCCTCCTGAAAGCCCACTACCTGGGATTACGCCTTTAACTTGGACATGTGCCCTGACCAGGAACCTTTTGGTGCATGGGATGACACCCAACCAACTGAGCTACACTGGCCAGGGCTCCACCTTCATAATATTTACTGTTATCAGGTTTCCCTTGTTTCATAGTATTACTATTTTTTATCCTGACAGTAACATCTGTGAAATAATACGTTTCATATGTAATTCAAATTCCTTCTAAAATTCATTAAAAGGCCCAGCCAGTGTGGCTCAGTGGTTGAGAGTCGACCCATGCACCAAGAGGTTGCTGGTTCAATTCCCTGTTAGACCAAATCCCCAGTGGGGGGCATGCA